GGACGGACCCCTACAGTCCTGCAGCGCACTCGACAAATCAACCTGATCAAACCTGGTAAGATCAAAAACAACACGATTGAAGCCAAGCATCTCCGCCCCATCAGTGTTTCCTCCCTTTGGTGGAGGTGGTGGAGCAGCGCTTGGGCCACAAGTGAGCTGATGCGCGACTGGCGATCTCAAACACTCCCGGGATACATCCTGGGAGGGCCAGGCAGTGAAGGGTGTGAGCAAATCACCCACAATTGTCTGCAGCAGTTCCAGCAGAAGGGATATCTTTGCAGTTTAGACTACAGCTTTGCATTTGACACGATAGACCCCCTCACGGCTGCCCATGCCATGGGAAAAATAGGCCTTCCTGAAGGTCTTTGGCGAGTCCTTTGCCACCAATGGAGTAACCAAAGCAGACTCATGCAGTGGAGCACCAGCAGCTCCCCCGAGTGGCTCAGCACTACGATGTCAGTCCCACAGGGCGACCCCTGCTCACCGCTGGCGTTGAATGTGTTCATGTGGGCTGGATGCCGCTATGTGGCAAACCAGGCCCCAGCTCAAGGGGAGGACAGAGCGATGGCAGTGTACATGGATGATCGCACATGGACTGCTTCCACCCCACAAGTGCTGCTTCGCACGCTGAGAGCCTGGGGCGAGTTCAGCAATAGAGCAGGGCTGAAGGAGAATGCAGAGAAAACGCAGCTGTGTGGGTTCGCCGCAAAGCACTCCAAGGTCTTGAACGACTACGTGCAGAACAATCACACGGATCTCGTAGACGCAGTGGTGCCTACTGCGACAGTTCTTGGAGTTTCCACCGTAGGCGGCAAACGAAGGCGCATGACGGCCAAAGAGGAGCAACGCATCGCGGAGGCAACATCCGTAGTGCGGAGGATTGCTCTTCTACCGACGTCGGCCAGAAGTAAGAGTGCCGATGTGCAGTCCATGGCAGTTGCCAAAGCTGCGTATGGAGGGATCGGCAGACGGCCCACGCAGAAGGCCTGTGAGGGTTTCAACCAAGCGGTGAATCGCATCACAGGCAGCTTTAAGTTTGCCAGTCCTCACTTGAGACGTGTCCTTCAAGGGGGTTCGCTCCACTTGGAAGCAGTGGTGGGTGTACGTCAGCTCTTGCTATGGGCGAAGGCGGCTGCGGCAGTTCCAGTGCAGGAGCGGCCGCGAGAGTGGCCTGGGCTCCCGTCTCCCCTCGAGAAGCAGGTCAAGGATTTCATGAAACAGCATGGATGGCAAAGTGTGCGGCGGCGATACGGCAGCTTCAGACACAGTGCCCTCAGGGCTCAGCTGGACATACCTCATGTTTGGCAAAGCAGAGATAAGAAACAATGGGCACATTTAGCCAGGGAAAGCTTCCGCCATTTCCACTGGCTAAAGCACTTGGCTTCAGCTAGGCGTGATGTGCCGGAGCTCCGTGGGTGCAATTATCACCAGCAGAGGATGAGTGTTGTCCGTGACCTCTTCTATGCAAGTAGTGGCTCACAGAAAGCAGTGCTCTTGGGTTCAGTTTTCTCCCCGGCCGCGTTTGCGGCCAGGCCACAGGCTCATGCGGACCTGCAGCAATGCATCTGGCCCGGATGCCAGGAAGTAGGCACCTGGCGCCATATCTGCTGGGAATGTCAGGCTAGGCCGGCAAGTGCTCCTTGCAGGCCGGAAGACCCTCTGACAGCCAGGTACGGGTGGCCAGCAGTTAACAGCTTGGATGATCGTGAGGCTCTGGTGTGGATGACCAAGGTCACTGATGAGCTTTGGACCCAGCGTCATAGCTGGCAGGCTCCTCAACATTCAGACCATTCGCAGCAGCAGCAGCAGCAGCATACTTGGTGGAGCGCCCGCCGAAAGTACGCTGCAGGGTCACAGACCAGCAGATGAGCCTTCGGGCTAGGTGTGCCTTTCTCAATTTGAGTAGGCACCTTCAACCGAAACCCGTAAACAACGGACGCATCGCGATGTTTGCTGCTATCGGTCAGATCGCTGCAGGCCTCTACACAGGCAAGTCTGGCATTGAGCAGTTCGGCGCCTGATCCTGCAAGCCCCTTGCGGCAACTGCAAGCACAAGTCTCGCATGCAGGCTTGCCATAGAGCGATGGCGCATGGTTTGATTTGTAGATGTTTCGAGATTGTGCTTGACTGCCCAGACATTATAGGCTGCTTTTCGGATCCTTTTCGGATTCGATGCCGATTTTCAAATGGGGAGTCAGCCAGTCAGCGCCACTTTTGGCGAGTTGTCAGCTGCCAGATAATCCAGACATTCCCTGCTCATGAAATCACAGACTGTGCAGAATTCGGCTATGCTGGCTATGCCCTATCTCTGAATCGTTGTATGCCTGCCATGCTCAGTCCGAGCACGCCGTCACCAGCGCGCAGTCACAGCTTGGTGACGACAAGATAGCCACGGCCACGTGCCCAGCAGGTGGCTGGCCTTAGATGCGGTGCCTCGCATGGCCCCTTCAACATCCTTCAACTCACCTTGAGCTGTAAATCCTGAGGCATGTGGGTCAAGAAGTGCCAAGTGGTCAAGGTTGGTTCGGCACCGTGGCAGCCACTAAGAATTTTCAGGTACTTTATGACTGCATGTGCAAGCGGGTTGTGGAGTTCTGCAGTCGGCCGAGTAGAGACCTACAAATAAAGCGCCACCTTGGGCCGCTGAGGGAAACCTTGCCGACGGGGCTGTGGTGGATGATGGCGCGACGAAGTGTACTGCACAGAGCGGCTTGGCTTACCAGTGTTTGTCATTACAGTCCATTCCTGGCTTTTGTTAAACGTGACGAAAGTGCCAGTGACCTATCAAGGCACAGCCCACATGCGGGTCAAGGCCAAGGCCAGCAAAGCTGTGGGCAGCTGTCGTGCACAATAGCCTTCAGAGGGCTCGTGCATGTGACCATGGGATACCATGCGCCGTGATGCATCAGCATGGGAAGCTGTGGTCAGGCTTTCTGCAGCACCACCAAGACCTATGCCGTCTCGACCAAACCTTGGCAGAAAGGCGAGGTCGAGTCTGAGCATGACTTGCTAAAGTGCTGACATCTGCTTCCCACTAAGTCAAGAATAGCTCCGTCTATCAAAAGGCTACCGTGTGACAGCCAGTTTTGTAGAGTCGATGAGAAGGTGCATGGGCATGAGCCGAGACCCCCGAGAGCATTTCACACGCAAATGCTGATGCGAAGCTGGCAGGCACAAAGACTGCGTCCTGCGCCAAGCCCTTGTCTTGCAACTGCCGGTCTGTGACCTGGCTTCACCTGGCCATGCGTTAATGGATGCAGTACTCAAGCGTTTGTGCGTTGCTGACACTTGAATCTGGATTCAGCGCATACGATCGGTACCAGCGTTCGTGTTCGTAATCAGCTAAATTTCAGCAAACATGTAGTTCCCGAAGTGCCATCCATCTCGTCAGGATTACATGAGCCCCTATTTAGAACCTATAGAAAAGATCTCAAACCCATGTTTTCGCCAGCACCCATGACAACCAAAGCATTTGCCTGCCAGACCCTGCTGTGGTCTAAAGGCTTGTTCGGGGAGTTCTGTTGATTGTTTTGTTTAACATTTAGCTCGACGTGGTTGCACTTCCGAAGTTGGATCTTTGGCTCATTTGTCCGCATACTCCCGCAGTCTTGTTCTGACTAAGGCATGGAAAGTCAAGGACCAGTGCCACTTGCCTACCTTAGCTAGGGAGCCAGAGCCTGACCACCGGCAACCCCAGACAAGAGTTGCAGCCCACCAGCCACGAACATACATCTGATATGTGAGTTGAGGTATGCTCGCTTTTTCGGTTCTGAGGTTGGTCTGGTCGCCAGACAGCAGCCACCTTCGACCCCTCCACAACTAACTGCAAACGTGACCTGGCGGATCCTGCCGAATGTAATCCGGACGTGTACAATTTTGAGGGAGTGTGTAGGCCTGTTGCTAGCACACATCAAGCGCTGGAAAATAGTTGTGCCATGGAGAGAGGCTGGCAGAAGTGCACAGCTCCAAGGAAAGTCCGGCAACAGCGGCATTCAGGTCACCGCTGTGTGTGAGGCACCATTGAGAGTTCCCAATGTTCCCAGCATAGCGTGAGAGCAACTCCTCCTTTTTTCTGAAGTGAAACAGCCCTGGACACTGGATGCAGGTCCTTAGCTGTGCCGTTGGCGGAGCCGCGGGCTGCAAGACCTGTGCCGCCGAGCGAGAACGTGAGGCTGGGATCTTTCGGTTTTGATGCAATTCCCAGCTTCTAAACTGTGTCGTCGGGATGCGAATCCAGGCAATAGCTACTTGTAGCATCTTCGTAGGTCACACTGCCCTGGCCCCGCCAAAGCACTCGCAAACTGTGAAGATGACGCCTGTCCCGCAGATCGTGAACCACTGCGCTTCCTGCAATCCGGGCTACTATCTGGACAAGGGCATATGCAAGGCGCCGTCCATGATTCCTGCAACACCGTCGATCAAAACACTCAAAGTTATGTTGGCCAAGCGTTCCCATCATGAGAGCATCTCTTGGCAGTAGGCAGCAGCAGTTTGCTGAGGCCGACTTTTATTTTGTGCATGGATAGCAGTATCATGAGCTCATCAGAAGCCGTAAAACACATGGAAGATGCGGACAGCACTCCTCGCAACATCTGTAAGCAAAACGATAGCCCTGCAGAGAAGACTTGTGGCTGAGTCATGGATAAAGATAAAGACAAGCTTTTGAGTGAGAAGAAAACCTTTCATCCAGAGGCCTACACGTGCAAAAAATCCGCTGGCTCGGGCTGCGGCGGCTGCCGTCCTCAGCACGAGCGGACGGCCGGGAGGGCTTGGGAGGGTTCAAAGAGGCATCATGAGTTAGGCTACGAGGCTTTCTTGTTCTCTAGGAAATGACATTCATGCGCAAGTGAGGACTTTCAGGCGGAATTATGCTGTGCTGAAAATGACTGCTGCTGTTTGCTTTGCAAAGGGGCTGCATGTGAGCTCGACACGAAGATGATTAAACGGACCGAACGCCCTCTCAAAGGCCAACAACCAATGCAACGGCTGCAATGCTGGCTGGGCTTTGGTCGGCACTCAGTGCAAGGACCCGGCATGCGTGACTTGATGTCGGAGTAGAGATTGTGGCAGGGCTCCTTGCTTCGCACAGTGGGGATGACTTGCCTGACACAGCCGTGCTTCCAGAGACTGAGCAGAATGTGGCCTTTCACCAAAAATGTCCAGGAGACCTGAATATTCAATGACTGTCTCATAAGCCAGAACCGTTGAGCAGCTGAAGCACAGCATGGTCCGTCTTGAAGGATGACCACACCGTCGTCAGCGGGTTCTCCGGCAACAACGACGACGACACCACACAGGCCACTGGCTTGCTGGGTGATTTGTGGGCGTGAAGGTTTTATTTTCCATAGCATCATATTGAAGAACTTGGAAGAAGTCTTGCGACCCATGGTCTGTGCAAACTATAGGAACATTTTAGATGACACAGCGCGTGGCAAGACGATGAGAGAGGTTGCCCAGTTAGCACATGCATTGCCAGGTTGCATGCCCTACGGGCATGTGGGTGGCTTGGCAAGGACTTAGTGCGGTTATATTTTCATAAGCTACAGACTGTGCAGGCTCCTTGACACCGAAAAGATTTTCTGTCTGCCTCGCCTGATAGGACAAGAACCCCTCATCCTGATAACCTAGCAAATCTCACTCTTTCCATATCTCCGTCCCAGCGTGTCTTGACTTCTCCCGTCGTTGGGCTTTGCGGATGGATCCCAAGCTTTGACGTCTGTCAACGCCAGCCTCTCCCAGACGCTCACATCAAGACCTGACAACAAAACAAAGTGTATCAAGGGCAAATCTCTAATGAATCCTATTGACCTATTGATTCTCGAATGTTCACCATGTGAATCAAAGGCCCGCGAGTGCGAAGTTGTGGAGGTGCAGGGTGCAGGCAGGCCGCGGTAGCTTTCAATTGCAGCCATCGAGACCGCCAATATCCTGCAAGATTTGAATTTGTCTGGAGCTGGAATATGTCCAGGGAGAGTGGATGTGGGGTCTGAACAGTTCAGAGCATGCCCGGGAGTTTCCCCACGCTCAGGACGGCGTCGCCGCCGCCGACGTGGTCAGGAGTTTGTTCTCATTTCGCAGTGCTGCTGGCAGCATCATGGAGAATCCTCAAGTGCCACGCAAGGCAGGCAGCTTTCAGGCATGTTAGGAAACTTCCCGTAGGACAACAAGAAGGGCGATGGTCTGGATGTGCCGAACCCGAACACCTGCAAGGCCTTTCCGAAAGCTGAGACCAGGGGTAGGATGGCATAGGAGGTCCATCAGTATGGAACCAGACGCTTGAAATGACCACATGCTGAAGTGGTTTCTTTTGCGTGTCACGAAACATTAAAGAGCCTCGGAGGTATTAGCATCGCAAGATAGGAACGTGCACTTGTGATGTTTCTGCATGGTCATGATCAGAACTTGCATTTCTACAAAGTTCTAGGTGCATTGCAGACACCTAGACGCATACGCTTAGGTGTTTTCCAGTGTTACTTGCTGTACTGTCAGATTTACCTACTGCAGTCCAGTCTGTATAGTTTCGGTTGCTTTGGGACAAGGACTACTTCGTGGATAAGATGCCCCCTTCAGCTGATTTGTGTGAGTGTGTCTACAGGCCATCACCACAACGGGCGTCAAACTGAAGGCCAAAGCCCACTGCAGTACAACTGAGACAGCCGTTGCCGAGCTCTGACTGAAAGCTTTAGCATGGGGCAATGGCCAAGAGCCGTCATGTGGACGTTGTTGGGATGAGTCAGGGATAAGTTCTTTTTTGTTTTCCCCACAATCGTGCACACGCAGACCAATACATCAACAGTCTGACTCAATATGGAAGTTGCGACTCCAAGGACAGCGGCAAAAACTGGAAGAAGGGCTGGGTGGAGGCTGCGCCCTGCAGATGCAGATGACAGAGTTAGGTTATACAAGGATATGGCATTCCAGAGTGTAACAGCACACGGGGACTTTGGATATCAAGCCCACTTAGGATATGCAATTATGAAAGCATGTGCAGACAGAATGCAAAGGCAAAAAGTGCAAGCGATATCTCGGACAGGTCGGCTGCACCAAGGGTGATGCCGTCAGCTGCACTTGCTGGTCGGTGCTCTGACGCAAAGAGGTGGAATACAAAGCTGATAGCAGCAGTCTGAAGAAACATGCACCTGACCGGAACTGACAAATCTCTTGCCCGAAATAGCCCAAATGCCGTAGAAGTGATTGACATTTCATCCAAGGCATGGCGAGTCAACGATTACTGCAAGGTCGGGACAAGGGTTCTGCTAATCACGTAATCCACTGTGCAAGCTGGTACTGGCCATTATGCTTCAGTACCATATCCCGTGTGTACCCGGACATTGATACTTCGGGGAATTTAACTTGTTCCTTGCGTAATGCAATCATTTCGTCTCCCCTCGCAAGGCAGGCCCCAACAAGGGTTGGGCAGCCACCTTCAAGCCGATCCGTGGCAAGTGCAAGCGCTCCTTGGCCTGTGAGTCCCAAAGCTGCGTCTTCTTCCGGCACCTCTTGCTGACTGTTAGGATCTTCTGACCTAGGCGTATTCTGACTTCTCAACTCAGAGACATTTTTGCCTGATGATTTGTCAGCTGCATGTCTTAGGCTTTTCTCCTGGAGGAAGGGGCAGAATCCAGGCAGGAGTTATGGTTTTTGGCAGATGCATGACTGCATGTTGCCAGCAGCCACATCTCATGTGCCTTAGCATCGGAGGTGCATGCCCTTTGCTCCATGGAATCTTGGTCTACAAGGTTGCCCGGAAGTTGCCCGGGTTTCTGCCGGTTTCCGCCCCTGTACTGGCCCGTTTTCCTACTCACGGTTCTGAGCTGTGGGACTGATGCAGCCATGGCAGCAGAGTTGGCACCGCATGTCCGCAGATGACGCCACCCAAATTGTGGAGTGCTGTGAGCTTGAACTGTGCTAAGGAGCGATGCAGCAAGTTCGGTTCATGCCCTGATGGAGACCTGGATGAATCTTCCTGTGATCAGCTGATTCAGCTGCTTTCAGCAATTGGCCATGTTGGGCCGCAAGGTTTTCCAGGAACAAGACCACAGTTGCAATAACAGAAGCGTACTGACACGGACTGTCTCGTTCAATCCGAAGAGAGTCCTCTCTCATGATAATCTAAGGATATTCCGCTAAGCCGGCAACGACGATCGGTTCCAGCGTGGCTAGCATCTCAGGGTCTGGGGAAGCACAGCTTGCCTGCAGCTATGGAGATCAGAATTCGCTACATCAAGCCTTCAATGCAAGGAAGCTTGCTGCACTCCCGTGGCCTGTCCAGCGGGCTCGACTGGCACAGATGTTCCAAGCTACCCAGCTGTGAATTAGAGGGTGCGCAGCAGTTCCTGTCACGATCCAGTTGGTTGATACTTGCTGTAGGACAGGTTCGATGTCAGTCTTGCAGAGAGAGAAGCCACTGAAACTAGCCCAACGCTTCAGCTACAGGTGGCTGCACATGCGCCGCAGGCCTGGGTGGGGAGGACTTGCTTGCGCTGACTTCAAGCTGAGCGGGTGGATGACACAATGCTGGGTGCAGTCATGGGCAGAATTGTTGAAAGAACGACCGGGTGAGATCAGACATCAGCACTAACGTTCTGCGGCTGAGGGCATGAACAAATGAAAGTAAAGCTCTGAGCCTTCTGTACTCGAGTGCAAGGCTACACTGGCTCCATTACCAAGAGTGGCGCTTCACCATTCTACACAGGCCTGGCTGAATCAGAGCTATCTTTGCTGAGGGGCGCTCAAGATGATATGCAAACTTGTGCTGCCAAGCCAGGCCTTTCAGGCATTTCTTGGGGTTAAATGCAGAACATGGATGAGTCCATGGAGTCCACGCAAACAAACTAACTGGAACTGTGCCAGAAGCACGGTTCGAGTTTACGTGTTGAGGGGTTGAAGCTGCATGGATATCTCAGATAGACCTGTCACTTAACCTAACTAGTTTTGGAGGAGCGCGGCCTATTTCAGGAGACTCTGGTGCATTCATAAAGTACGTTGGAAAATGCCATGATTGAGTGAGGTTGCTAGAGATTTTGCTGGGTGGTTGGGTGGGTCGGTGCCCAACCCACGTTAGGAAGCTGTGCCGCTGTGGACTGCCCCGAGAACTCTGACGGCAGCAATGTGCCCAGCGGCTGCACTTGCAAGACAGGCGGGATCCATTCCAGCGGTCTCCACTGAGTTCCAAGTTCGCATTGTTTGGACCATGCTTGGCCAGGCTACTCCGGCAAAATCACGGCCATTGCTTCTTCCCCCTTCTACAAGGGCGCCTGCGCGGAGACCTGCGCTCTCTACAGTTGCCCCAAAGGCCATAGCGTTGCGTCCCTGGAACTTTCTCTTCTTCGATTCAGCTGATTCCAGGCTACAAGCCCAAGGCCAGCACCACCAAAGCCAACTCGCTCAGCGGCTGCTGTGAGCCGGTGGACTGCCCCGCAGGACTCGCGTAATCTTTGGGACAGGTTTTAAAGGACTCGTGCCATTCATGGCTTGTGTGCTAGGATCCTCCGGGGATGCTGTGCACAGTGGCTGCAGCTGCGATGCCGGCCATTCTGGCAGCATCAGCCTGGGCCTTGCCTTCTCGAGAGGTATAAAGCTTGCAGAACAGTGGGATGCACGCGCTCCAGAATTGACGTCTGCTTCAGGCGCAACGACCTCTGCGCCGTATTACTCTGGGCCACCGGCCCAGTGCAGCTCAGAAAGGGGGACTCCCAAGTCTGGGTGCTGACTCAGCAGACCGACCGGCAGACACGTTTCAACCCAGAATTTTAAGACTGAGGGCCTGTGCTACTGTGGCTTGCCCAGACAACTCGGAGGGCGCTCATGCACCTTGCCTGCAGTTCCTGAAGGGTCTTCAGACTGTTCTGTGTCAAACAGCCGCAGAAGCTATCGAGCGCAGGTGCCAGCAGGCTGCAAATGCAATGCCGGCTATTCTGGCACCATCGAGGCCTGCGAGAAGGATATTTTCGGCTGCTCCAGAAGGGAAGCTCCGTGAAAACACACTGCCGCAAGGCCAGCAAAGCCTCTCCCTTCTACACCGGCTCCTGCGCGGCAGTTGCGTGCCCGGCTGACTCCTCCGGCACTGTGCGCTTGGCAGCAGAAGGGGATTAGGTAGCACATGAGCAAGCAAAGGAAACAGCCAGTAGGTGCCTTGGTCATTATGCTTTCTTGTCAGGATGTCCCAAGTGGCTGCAGCTGCAATGCCGGCTTCTCTGGCAAGATCACTGCATCAGATGCGCCACTTGTCCAACCGACGCGTGCTGCCATCGTGGCTTGAGATTTGCAGTATAGGGGTGCCATCAATGGCAAGAGCAATCCGCTCACCAGGGGGTGAGCTGGCACTTTTGCATGGCCATCCTTGACCCCCAAATGAGAGTGAAGACTAGCAGACTACCAATTGCACTGACATGCCTGGTGTCTTCGGTTGCTCCCCTCAAGAACTTATGATAGCACATTGTGCAACAACACTGCCCAACATGTGGCAATGCTTTATAGCCATGCCTGCTAGTAACTGTTTTGAGGTCGCCGTTCTACAAAGGAAAATGCGCCGTTGTGGATTGCCCAACGCACTCCTCGGGCAGCAATGTTCCCGCTGGATGTGCATGCGATGCTGGGTGCCTGGGCCAGTATGAGGAGTTGAGGATGAAGGTAGGGCGAGGGCAAAGCAGCGTGCTTTGATGTCACGCATGTCCAGGTGCACGTTGCAGCAAATAAAAGTATGAACAGCTACCGCGGGTCGTAGTCAAACTGTCAAAGCGCTTGCTCTTTCGAGCACTTCTACTGACCATCGCCAGAAGGGTGAGGACACGCTTTCTGCCTGCACTCTGAATTCATATGCTATGCCGCCCCCAGGTACAGCGGATCCATCACAGCAGTGCCGTGGCCGCAGTCGGTGCACAGGAATCGACATGGAAGTGCTGAGAGCATACAGCGCTTCTTGTACTGACTTGTTTGGTCCCGACAGCTTGAAACAACTCACCTGCCGCGAGCTGAAAGTGACCCGCTTCAGTCAACAGGCAGCAGCCCATCCGTTCTACAACGGCAAGTGCGAGGCCGTTGCGTGCCCCAAGTACTCGACAGGACCAGTGTTTCAGCGAAAGTGCTAGCACAATATGGCGGCAGTATCTGAGGCGAGGTTAGATGCGCAGCTCGTGGGCTGAAATAAATCGAGCCAAAGAATGCTGTCAACGCAGTGAGTTTGCCTATAGGTGGTGTTCATTTGCATGTCTGACAAACGTTCGTACATAGATCGGACTAGACACGGAAGGGTCTTAACCCACAGCATGCGTACGAATAGTAGGATGTCGGAAGATGTCGGAAGAGGATTTGAAGATTGTGGTTGATACAGTAGATGCTTCCTGTACGGAGCGCCTCGTGAAGCTGTTTGTTGCAGCAGAGCGTTTCCGGCGAAATGTGCGAAGTTGCTCGTTAATAAGCACCCTGATATTTGTTCAGTTCCTCTACAGCAGAGCAGGAACCAACGTTCCCGGCGGCTGCAAGTGCAAGAACGGCTCCAACACAGCACTCATTGCTGGGAGTGGAGTAGCCGACCAGTGAATTGAGCAGGGAAAAATTGGGACTGCCATGCTCCAAAACTACGTAGCCATGTTGGAAATAGGTCTTCAGGGTCTGGCAAACCTCTGGCAGAGGAGTTAACACACATGGAATTGTGACAGTAGAGTGAAGATGGGGAGCTGCAACCCTTGACCAGTGCAACTCACGACGTCCAGCGAAGTCTGGCAGCTTGATGGCATGCATTTGAGGTTACAAGGGCAAGATCACCGCCTCAACGGCCTTTCGACGGCAATAATTGTGTTAATTGTCAAAGCTTTGCTATGCTGCAGAGGAAGGATGGCTTTAAGTAAGATCACGGATTTGCCGCTACGCAAAGTTTTATCTATGACTCCTGACGCATGCACAGGCTTCGCCGTTTTACACGGGCAAGTGCACGCCTGTGGGCTGCCCCGACAATACCGAAGGCCGGAGCTCCAGCTGGGGCGTGGCTTATCCTAAGCTGAAACTTCAGCCTCTCCACGTCTTCGCTCCAGAGCGTTTCTCGTTCTGGACTTTCACGTAACATCAGCTGACCCTGGAGGCAACAACGTGCCGGGAGGATGTGACTGCCTAGCAGGCGGGTCGCCGTTTGCGAAGATTCTTCATCGTTTCTTCAGAGAATTCCCACTCTTCTCACTTGGTTTTTATTGCATCACGATACAACTCTCCGCCTTGCTGCTTCATGCACGCAACGTGCTTGGCGAGTCTCCCCTGATGCTAGAGTTCGCCTCTCACAAGCTAGCGTCGTTCGCAGGAGGATGAAGCAGGCAAATCGGTGAATCGCAAATAATCCAAAGCCTCGAGACGTCTCGTGACGCAACGCCAGTTTGACTATTTTTGATGAGCTACTTGTACTTCAACAGAGCATGACGGGCACTGCAACAGCAGCTTTTGGTGGGACTTTATCTATCCTGCTCCTCCTGCTGAGTTCTTGCATCAGAGTTTGTGACAGGTTCAGTAGTCTTAGAACCAGGCCACAGCATGCTATAGTACTTCTGCAATGCAGGCTTCTCTGGAGAGATTGCCGGCGACGACGAGAGGCAGAACTATATTCTTGTGAGAGTTGTAGTGGCCAGCTGGGTATCATTCAACTTCACTACAAATCACTTTGCATGCCTGATACGGTGGGCGGGGCGAACGATCTGCGAGGAACTTTGGGGTAGCTACCCTTGAAACCTGGTCAGCGTTCACAGCGGGCTTGTTTAGAACACTTTGAAGGGCTTCCTTTGCCATGTGAGGGTCATCACTTCCAAGATGACAGGCCTTGGTACACCGGGACATGTGCGGCCGAAGCTTGCCCTGCGGGCTCATCTGGTTGCTGAACTGCATTAGGGATTCGCACAGCTGCTTGCCCTTATCCGACACCATTCAAACGCGTCCGTTTCTGCTCCGCTTCATACCACAGCTGCAATTGTGTGCCTCGTGTCAGTCTGAGCCACAAAGCTTATTCAACAAGGCACCGACATCCCCAGTGGTTGTACCTGCAAAGCTGGCTTCTCGGGAAGTGTCACGGCAACGACACTTGGCGTCAGTCATCTGTTGTACATCTTCTTCTCTAGTAATGATTGGCCAACTAGCGCCGGCTGCTGCTGCCGCCGCCACTAGTACTATTTCTACAACCGCAGCCGCCGACGGCGGCAGCAGCAGCAGGAGCAGGAGCAGGAGCAGGAGCAGCAGCAGCAGCAGCAGCAGCAGCAGCAGAGCAATAGCAGCGGGAGGAGAAGGAGTTGCAGTGCTAGCATTGCGACTACGTCTCCTACCACTACAACTTCTAGAAGTAGGAGCTGCTGCTGCTGCCACTGCTGCATCTGCTGAGTTAGGGATTGATGTTTTACATGATCATTATCGTGAAGACGTTCTGTCTCGTGCCTATGATCATGACCATTCAAGGTTTCCCAGGCCGCGTCTGCAGCAAGACGTGCTTTCTCAAACTGACTTCTCTCCTCTCTTCTAGGTTTTTGCCTTCAACATGTCGTAAGATGCGTGCTGCAAGGTGTTCAATCAAGGAGTTTGCCTAAGTGCAATCGGATAGGATTAGCGTAGTCATAACAGTTCGATTGAAGGAAGACGTCGCCATACTACAGCGGTGGCTGTTCTGCGGTGACTGGGCTTTATGTTGCTTGTAGTCCGCTATGCTGATTCTCATGGCTGTTGTGTTCATGCTGTAAAGCATTGGCATGGCAGAATTTGGCGGGCAGGAATGTGTATCGCAAAGCAAGAATCGCCCAGGTCAGCTGCCCGGCCAACTCTCAGGGCACCAACGCTGCTGTGAAGCAACAAGATCTTCTAGGGTTCTGGCAGGGGTTCTCACTTTCAGTGCCTGGCTCTGCTGCAAGTCTGAAACTGTCGCAGTGCAGACTAATTTCATGGTAGGCCAGTAGCAGCAGTTGATTGAAGTTCCCGAAGCTCCAGGCTGCTTTGGAGAACGTGTGTTGTCCAATGTTGTCCACATATCCGCATTGATGTGTGAGACAGGTCCCGGCTGGATGCACCTGCAACACTGGATACACCGGCACCATCGCTGCCACTTCCAGCTCCACAGCCGCACCGGGCGACGCCATGCAAGACAGTTTGATTTTGGATTGGTTTCTTGAGGTATTGTAAAACCGACGTAGAGGATTAGAAGCCAATATTAGTGCATTTCAAGTTCAGATCAGAGGGGTTCCTGTGCGTTGAGATTTGTTGGAACATTGACAGACCACTGAAAGGCTCGCCCTTCTACTCGGGATCATGCGTGGCTACTTGCAGACTTCCGGCCGCATTTGTGATCCGAAGCAGGGGGCTGACCTGCTGCTTGTAAGGGAGTGCGACGGAAAGCGGCACCAAGGCCTCTACAGCTGCCCGAAAGGCTACAAGCCCAAGCCTGGCACCACCGTTGGGGAGACTCTCGCATCCTGGCAGATTTTTCCAGCGTTGACACTATGGCGTTCGGCTGTGTCCGCAAAACTGGGCCTCTGGCTGCCATGTCATGGCATGACCATGACTGCTTCACCCTCGAGTGCCTAAGGCAGCTTGTTGCGATGCGGTCGCATGCCCGGCGAACTCCCTGGGCACAGACGCTGGATTTACATGTCCTAGGTTTTAGGAGAGAATTAATTATTGCAGCGTTACCTTATCAAAAGGCTTTTCCCAGGGTAGCGTTGGAAGGCATGCTGGGCTAGCTTTAAAGTAGAAGCTTGGCCAAATGGCACTTCCTGAATCTCAGGATGTGCCAAGCGGCTGCAGCTGCAAGGGCGGCTACACAGGGTGTGCTCAGCATTGATTCGCTGTCTCGGGCGGTTGCACCTCAGGGTAGCAAGGTCACTTTCGCTCTCTAACTGCATTGTCAGCGCCTTCTCGCACTGCTTCACAACTGGCAACAGAGCCGTGTGTCGTGACACTTACTGCTGGCGCTTTCAAAATCTTTGTTGCACTTGGAACATTGAATAATTGAATCTGTGGCAAATGCATTTTTGCCAGGACCATCACAGCCACGAAGAAGGACGGATGATGGCAGTCCGTAAAACTTACTTAGATCATTCAAGTCTATGCTGGGAGGCTCCGTTCTACTCCGGCAGCTGCGAAGCGGTGGCTTGCCCGGCTCGGTCCACGGGAGCCTCCATTCCGGAGGGATGCGCTTGCAAAGCAGGCGAGCGCTGCCTGCGTTGAGGGTCTCTGCAGTGCCGTGGCTGGCGAGTGAAGACACGGTTCCTGCAACCCTCTTTGCAGGATACAGCGGAACTATCTCACCTGCTACGAGCTCACCTTTCTATGCAGGGCAGTGCCAGGCGGCCTGTTGCATGCTCCTTGGGACTCTTCGCCTTGCGAGCCTCCTAGCCCCTTCTGACATCAGTGACATCACCCAAGTCCAAAACAATCGACATATATTGACGTTTAACTCAAGCAATGCCCCATGACTCTACAGACTCTGCGAGTGGTGAGTGTGAGATGTTGCTGATGGCCGTTAAGTGCCTAGATTTCCGAAATCAAGAGCTGAGCCTCCATGTTCACACCTGCCGAAAGACCTGTGCCAGCACGTCAACTGCCCGGCCAAGTCCAGCGGAAACAATGCAAGCCCGGCATATTTGATGGTGTAAGGGTTGAAGCAACTTGCTGCCTGTCCATCCCGTCCATCCCCTCCCCATTCTTGCAAACAGTGTCAAAGCAGGGAAAGTCATAGAAAGTCATAGACTTCGGCCTTTCAGGTTTGGGCTCACGGGTGCGACCTAACTTACCAGAACCCCCAGTTGCAGCCATCCGTTGCTCAGGTGGTGAAGGGTTGCGCATGTGACGCTGGTTACGAGGGCGAAGTGAAGGCCACAACGACTGCACCGTTGCGTGGATGATTTGGTTTGGGCTTGCACAGTGTGTGAATGCAACGCATTGAAGATCCACTTGCACATGGTCTGGGTAAGTGGCAGCTGCCCCTTGGGCTTTGTATGATGTCCGGTTCGACTCAGAGGATCCGGCGTTCTGACCTAGTTGGAGAGTAAGCAGCCTGATGTGAGGAAGCATGTGCAATTGTCCTTCTGGCAAGTGTATCGAATCCTTTGGAGCCTGCGAACCTTTGCCGTGTCCTGATCCAGTGCGATTCAAGGTTCTTCGAGAGCACTTGCAAGGCAGTTGATTGCCCTGCTCATTCGACGGGCAAGGCTCCCGTGCACCTGCAGCTTGTGGAAAGAAAGCTCGTCCAGCAAGCTCGGTGCATCATGTGCATTTCACCAGGACGTCGTTTCTGGGTGCACATGTGATGCAGGCTGCTTCGACTGCAGAGATCAGTAGCATTGCTTCTCGTGGACCGTAAACAGCCCTGATCTGATTGAAGCCAAGGCTACACAGGAACCATCACAGCCTCCAGCACGGCACCGTTCTACACAGGTAGCTGCACAGCTGTGTTCTGGCTACAAAGGTCGTTGCGCCTTGTTCTTGTCTGGGTTTCAGCTTGCATGACTGGATCGGAAGCTTCTTTTGCCATGCCACGGTGTGCCTTGCACAGCAGCATTATACGTGTCCATATATCATATTCTGGACTGAGCCCGCTCGCTGACTTCAAAGGTTGCATGCCCAGCCAACTCCAAGGGCACAAGCGTGCCAGCCGGTTGCGTATGCATCTTGGCATAACCAAAGCAAGGAGGTCCTAGGCATGGTGGTAGCGCCCGTTTGCAGAATTCATTCAAGGGCTCGCCCTGTGACCCAGTCTCTTTAGATTTTATCCGATATTGTGTTGGAGCGGGCCCGTGCGGTGTGGACAAGATGAGGCCTGTGCAAGACACTGCCAGGAACTGTGACCCACGCCTGACACGTTCCTGGCTGCATGTTGTGGCAAGTGCTGCTCATTAAGGCGATGCTGGTTACTCGGGCAGCATCACGGCCAGCTCTTCAACGCCGTTCTACACTGGCAGCTGCGACCCCGTGGCATGCCCCGCACACTCGACAGGCTGGGCCTAGGCCTAACAAAGTCTTCTTGAGCTTCCCCGACGTGTTTTTTTTTGAAAGGGGCACGTCGAACTTGAAAGCTATTTCATCCAGCCGCGGTGGAAGTTAGAGCATTCCGATCTAGTCTGCAAGGCTCCAGATGGCCTTCATTACTAAGCCGACTTGGTGAACGCTTCACATGTGAGAGTCTTTTAAACCCTGGACGCATCAGCACCACTTGCAATGATGCGTTGAGCTGCTGGGGCAGGAACCAACATTCCTGCCGGCTGTGTGTGCAACGCCGGCTATGCAACTTGACAAAGCCGGCTTGGGAGCTTGCAACTTGTGGGCGTTCTGTAGTAAGGGGACGAATCTAAGTGAGACGAATTGTTTCTGAAGCCGGTGAGCCCTGAAACGATTTCATCCAAGGAGGGCGCCATCACCGCCGCAAAGCTGCTGGGCAACAGCTTGAGGATGTTTGGAAATCTGGATTCACAAAGTTTTGTGGGGTGCGCAGAGCGGGGAGACTGTACATATGTGACGGTTGCTGTTTTGACATCTTGTCGGTGTTTTTGAGGAGGCTGTGTCATTCGGGGTTCTTCCATTTGCCCCTTTTCTTCAACAGATGCATGCAAACATTTGTAGTCATGTTGTTTAAAGTCAGATGTTGCAACTTGAAACTTATTCCGTAAAGGGGGACTTGATCGCGGCCATCACCTGTGCCTGTCTTTGTGCAAACCAGGCACAAGCCATACCACAAGGGAAAGTGCTCGGCGGCAGCATGCCCGTGGCGTCCTCAGCTTGGCGAGAGACGGCTGATACGGATTTTGCGGGCTAAAAAGGTGGCACACGTGGCACCGTCTAAGTCAGTCTGATCCCAAGCCATGGCCAGCCTGCTCGGATGGTGCTCAGGGCTCATTCCTCCGGCACCAACATCGTCAAGGGCTGCACCTGCAACGCTGGCAACTAGGCTGAGTTCGATAGTTCCAGGAATCAAGGGTTGTTTTGAGACCGCTATCTGCTGATGCCGTACAAGATTCACTAGTCTGCTCCCTGATGCCCGGCATGTACGATACTGACTCTGCAGGCCCTAGTCAAAGGCATTTTGACTAAGCCCCGTCCGCGGCCTCGCTAACTCCACCAGCAGGACAAGCAGCACACCTGCGACCTAAGCCAGTGATGCCAGTGAATGCAAAGCCTCAGGCTACGATGGCGACGTCGTGGCAAAGGACGGGATGCTGCGTTTTCAAAGCTGTTGACACTTCCAAATGGATTGGGCTTGTCGCAGAAGCATGCCTACTTGACATTGCAGACCCGCAGAGGTCGGCGCGCCCTTCTTTTCTGGGGGCTGCAAGGCGCCTGACCTGAAAAGGGTGTGAAGTCCAAGCCTACACAATACACTCCGGGGCTTAGCTGCTTTTTCATGTTGCATGCGCTGCAGCAAAGACCGGGATCCACTCAGGAATGGGGATGCAACACTGGCACTGGCGCCTCCTGCAAGACGTGCGTGGAGCTGTCGAAGCGCACACAGGAGCGGGTTGGATTGTTTCAGGCTTATGGTTCTCGATATGTCTACCAGCGCAGATGAGTTGTTGTGACGGACTTCAAAGATGCTGCGTTTCGGCTGCAGGAGAATCACTGCGCCAGCTGCAATGCTCTTAAGCCGCAGCAAATTTTTGTGTCAGGGCTTCTTTGGAAGCAAGCCTCAGGTGCGGTTCTAATCTCCTCCCTCCATGGTCTTCCATCATGATGCTGAAGTTGCGGCTTTTGGCATGGGGAACAAGTAGCAACTTGCGAAGATACTGCTGATTGCTGTGCGCATTTCTAGGACACAGTCTTGCAAGCTTCATTCCAGGCTGGCTACACGATCCTGGAGCCTCAGTGCAAGGCCGCCATCTTGTGCCAAATGCAGTAAGATAAGGTATGATGAACTTCGTGAGGGGCATGGGGGACGCTGATTTTCTTTGTACACAGGTGTCAAACCTACGTGGAGATACGTGGCATACATTCACTCATGCATTTATGCACGTCCACTCCCATTACATGAGTGTATTGTAGCCTTCAAGAGTACTGATGAAGATCCGTCGTATTGGGTTGCTGAGGGCAGCTGCCAATCAGCAGTTCCCTTATTTGCAGCATTTCATTTGTGTACTAGTAGCAACATCTCCATGGGATTTAAAACCTTTAAAAGCTGGCTCCGAGGAAAGTCCAGGCCTGTTAAGTTTGAAATCATTTTTATCATCAAGTCGTGCTTATTGCACCTGCATCATCAAGTACAACAGGGCGAGAATCACAAACTGTATTGAACAGTGAACAATTTTCATGTACAGGATTGTGCATTTGAGTGCATATCTTGTGGAAGAGCCCGTCTAAAAAAAGAAAAAGCATGTCGCCCTGCGAGCTTGGTCTGAATCCACCCACATCATGTCGAGGTGATGGCCAGTGATCAGAAGTGTGGAGGCTTTCCAAGTCGGCTGGAAATTGGGTTGAATGCTGACTCCTCTAGGGCATGCGTGCGAGCTGAACAGTTCCCCTGTGCCATGGACGACAGTCCCCTGGGCCGTTTGTATGTTTGCTATGTTAGCTTGATGTAGACCTACCGTGCGTGGATTTTGCCGGCAAGCTTGTTGAAGTGTTCGGACCTTGAGTTGAGGCGTTGAGTTAGTCACTTCGCTGGCTCGTGAGGAATCCTCTACCTGAGTTTTCTCAAATTTTAAATGTTGTGTCAGTGGCCATTGGGATTCTTGGTGTAGTTGTTGTTGTGTTGTACGACGTTTCAATTTCTCATGGATCACCCATGATATGTGGACGTACGGCCAGAGCAAGGAACTACTGTTTAGCACGAGGAACTTGATGCCCCACTTGTCGTGTGTTTATCCCCCCTTCCATTATTCTCCATGGTGGTAGTTGGGTAGGATGGTTACACTCCTCCCAACAAATGTTGCGCTCCTGTTCAGAAGGACATTCTTCTCTGTAGTCCCGTTCTTTGTTCCATGCCAGCCCTTGAACACCAAGCATGTTCCTGAAAAACGATTCGTTCCAGGACCAACTTGCGCGAAGGCCTGCAAGGGCGACAAGTGTGGCTTCAAATGTCAGGGACTCGATTCTAGTGCAGACGCCACAATCCTGCAACATCCTCAGAAGCAAATACTGGGAGTTGTTCCAAACCCTCCCTACTCAGTTTGCGTTTGGGCAATTTTTTGAAAAAAGCATCATCTTGAAACGTTGCAAAAACTGGGGCCTGTCATGACAGGCACCACCAGCTTGGCAGACAGTATGTTCAGAGCTTTTAACAATGCGTTGGCTGGGGGCTTCCCAGAATGCATTTGCCATGTCCTGTTCTTTTGGGTGAGGCGCAGGCCCGCCAAGGATCAAACTCCAGAAGCTTCAAAAAGCATCTATCACAGCTCTCTTGAGTTTAGGGGCCCTGCGGGCCCAGATGCATTTTTCAAGGTTTCCAAAGCGCGTTTTGCTAGGTCCTGCCCCGTTGGGTGATCACCAGATGGGCAATTTTCCATCCATCAAGGCCCTCTAATTTAGAAAGCGCCAGACACCAAGATGTGTTTTTCCAGCTTCCCAAAACATCCTTTTTCCATCCCCTCAAACCTTGAAAATTAGAGACGCCACAACCGAAACGCATTTGGCCCTGTTCTGTTCCGTTGGGTGGTGGGTCCTGTTCGGTTGGGTGACCCTCAGATAGACCAACCAAAACTTTATCCTTCCATCACCCCTCAGGCTCTGAAATTTAGAGGCCACGTAAGCCAAGATGCATTTGTCCGACCTTCCTGCAAAGGGAAACTACGGGTTAAGCTCCTGAATTTACATAGATTGTTTGCAGTAACTGCCTTTGATCCCAGCTTTTGGAGCTCAATCCGCCTTAAAGCGGTTCAGGAAGCTGCAGAGGTTCCCAGCAGTCGAAAACAAGTTTTAGTTTGGAGGGTATGTGCAAGGACGTTTGGCGGAAGCTTCGCGAAGCGAGTCTGGTACATGGTTAAACGCCAATGGCGGCCCGGTCTGCCAGCACACCAGAAGCATGTCAACAAAGCATTTTGCGATCTCCTCACCGGCATTTGGCTTCCCAAAATGCATCTTGACTAGGTCTTGGTGGTTCCAACCAAAGCCCAATCCCGTTTGACAGGCCCAACAATCCAAATAAAGAAATTAGCTTTTGTGGGCAATATGCAGTTTTGGGGCTATCAGAATGCATTTGGTTACTTCCTTTGTGGTTCTGACGTGAACAAACCGGATTGCTCTTGACATGCCCAGCAAAAGATGCGTTTTCCGGGCTTCCTCACATCCATTTGCGCCATTTCTGTGTAATTCTAAGCAAGAATGTGCCAACAACCCAAGTGTGGATGGCCACCTACCTTGGGCATTATGCCTTTGTCGGGCTTCCCAAAACGCATCCCGGTTAGTTCTTTCTGATTCTGACCAAACATGCACTCCAATCCCGTTTGCGACAGGCCGAACAACCCGAACAACGTATGGCTAATATGAGCACTGTATTTTTCGCGCTTGCCAAAATTCCAATGCATTTTGGTTGTTTTTTTGTCAACAGCAGCACAATGGCTACTACGTGACGTGGACACTATGTGTTTAGCAAGAGCAAAGTATTCTGATTACCAGTTGGGATTGCAGCAAAACAGTCCTTTCAATCTGTCGTAGAATAGATCATGTTAAAATCTGGCAAAACTGTAGGCCAAGCGGAAGGGGGTAATTGTTTGCGTGTTGTTCATGCTCAGAAAAGCTGTTTACATCGAGCAGTCGAAGTGAGCACTTCAGGTGCGGGCCGCCTCTTCGGCCAGGAGAGGGCTTCTGGACTCGGATGTTGCCCATAGCTCTATATATGTCCCTTTCAAAGGCTTCAGCCGTTGGATGCTGTTCTCTTCAGCCCATGCCATGTCTGATGGCAAGGAGGAGTGTGCGGCACAGTGCGAGGGCGAGCAGTGCGGCTTCCAGTGCAGTGGCGCGCCAGGGCAGAGCTGTCTGAGCTAAACTTGCAGACGAATGCTCGAGCTTTTTCTGCAGGTGGAAACTGCGCCTCCACTTGCCAAGGCAGTGCAGGGTGCCTGAGTGCTCTCATATTCTTTCCGGAGGGGCATAACTCCAGCTTTCGGTCATGCTCGACGTGTAGCAGCATCCGTGGGAGCTTGAAACCTGCACGCATCTTGTTTGTAGCATGCGGCAGAGACTGCCGCAACGTGCGCCAGGCAAGCAGTGCGCGTACGAATGCCAGAGCTCAACGTCCGCCGTCCAGCAGTGTGGAATGGCATGCAAAGGCAGCAGTCACGGGGGGAGCACTGAGAATTTGCACCCCGGCTCTGGCACCTCTCACCGATCACCAAGCTGGTTCATTATGCCCATGCAAATAGAGCCCCTTGTACATCAGTGGTACTGCATCAGAATTTTAAAAAGCAAAGAAACGCAGGCTTCGAGTGCGGCTACTACTGCCAGGGAGCAGAGTGTGCGCGAAGCTGCGATGGTGCCTTGCAGCAAGCAGCAAGAGCCATAAAACGATGCCCATAGCAGCGATGGACTGAAGTTTTATTTGTCTATGCGACGGCATGGTCCCCTTGAAATGTCAAGATCAGCTTTGTGTTTCAATGCCACGTTGCTGCAAAATGCTCCGGAGCGTGTAAAACCAGATGTAAGAGATTGCAGAATGAGTATGGGAATTTGACCAAAGCCCTGACAGTAACTTTGGATCGCTGCTCATATATTTGTGTGCCTTGGGATTCAATTGGGGACTTGCTTTCTTTGTCTGTTGGAAAGCGTGCAAAACCTTAAACTAGCAGCTTCTCTGCACATCCGATGATTGGTCACAATGAGGTGATCGCTGCGGAGCGTACTGCAGTGGCGAGAAGGGCGCGCTGGTTGAGACAATAAGTCCATGCCAAGCTATGCATAGTGTTTTGTGAAGTCACGCCGAGCTGCAAGAGCGTGCGTACACAGTGTGCTTGTATGCGTGGACAAGGTTGCCTCTGTGGGCTCCTCCTACGTGAATAGGTTTGTTGCATTGCTTGCAGAACCTTCAGTTCAAGACTGCTGTGGACACACTGCAGCCCAAGTCCGTCCGAGGTGAAAAGGGACATTGCGCTGCCAAGTGCGTGGGAAGGCAAGAAGCTGCATCTATTGACCACAGCAATGACAGCACGTTGGTAGACCGCAGGTCAATCACTGGACTTTAGGATCTTCGGAATCGCGCTAGCGCTGGAACGTTCACATCCAAATGGGTTGTCCGAAGCAATCTAAAGACAGAGTTAGTTGTGGTCGCAACAGCAGCGAGTGAAAGCAAAACTAGAATCTTTAGTAGGCTCAGTGCAGTGGTAGTCTTAGTGGCGACAGGATGCTGTTCGTGTTGATGTTATTTGTTTTTTGCCATGCTTGGCTTCCGCTGGTGATTGTGCTGATTCTTGCTTGCCTTGGGCCGCCTCATTGTCCCGCACCGGCATTGCTCCTGCGCCCATCCACCGGTCCACTGCACGGCCGGGTCCCCCGATCTCGTTGTGGCCTCCGGGCCTGATCTGCAGCCCGTCCTTGGCTTGGGCCACAGATGCATACAGATGCTCTGAGGCACATCTCTTGATATCATCTGTCGTACAATGTTGTATTGAATCGTGTCAGATGCTGCATTGTCCGAAATTTGTCACCGATGTGCTGTTCCCAAAGGTCCAAAGCTTGACGATCACGGTTTTCAAAGTAGAGCCAGCAGGTTTCAAAGTTTCTCAAGTCTCGGTATGGGGGAACATAATGTCCAAAATGTAGACTACGTGTGGCACGCCTGCTTCTGTTTGAGGCATGCCACAGAAATCCAATGTCAACACTTGGTCAGCATTCTGTTCTACTCTTGTTGGGTTGGCTTCCCGAGTCGCAATTGGAGGTTGAGTAAGAAATTTAGATGATCATGTCTTCATTCTGATTGCCATTTCTGGCTTCGAGAGGCAGTGTGGCTTCGAGTGCATTGGCCATCAGTGTGCTGCGGAGTGCAAGGGCAGCCGATGTGCCTTTCCTGTCAAGTACGTGTAGCTTGCATCTCCTGAACTCCACACGTCTCACACTGACCACCCCGGATAACATCGACATACACCGACAATCTTCCCACTTCTGGTAGCAGTTGCCTTGGCAGCCTGAGCTCTATCGGAGTGGCATCTCTTAGACAAACCGGTGCCGAACGTAAGGTGCTTACAGATGTCAGGGTGACTACGAGGCTGGCCAGGGCATGCTTCTTTCAATTTGTATTTCTGTGGGCAGCAGGCATTGCATTGAGTTGATGTTCCACTTGTTACGTCTGGGGACTGAATTCAGCGATGATGTCGGCATACCCTTGACAGACAGGACAAGGGCAGCTGCGGTCTGCAATGCGAAGGCGCAGCTTGCACTAGACGGTTGTCTCCGCAGCAACAGTTCACCGAGGGGGAGTTCACCTTAGTCTGTGTACTTGTTCATTCCTGTGTGTGGCGGGGTTGTTGTCAGTTTGGTTGTGTTCAAACGCTGCGGAGGAGGTTCGAGAAATGCATTGCAGTCGTGGTAAATCATGCCGGATGTGAAGCAGCTAGCTGCAAGCAAAAGCCAGGTCTGGAGTGCGCCTATCGCTGCCAGGGCTCCTCTTGCGCCCAGCTTTGCACAGGCCAGCTGTGAAGCCATCTCTCACGGGTTGCCAACTACATGCAGTCGACTGTAGCCGTAGCCATGGCATTATATGGCATTCAAGCTGGTGTTGCCAGGCGATCGCTGCGGCTACAGCTGCCAGAGCGGCAGTGGTAGCGATCAGAGCTGCGCCAAGCAGCGCCTTGGAGTTAACATCATGATGCGGATTTCCAGCCAATGTCCAGACATGCCCGCAGGGATGGTGTCTAAATTCCCTCCTAGACATTCTGTGATTATCTCGATCAGGTGCAAGGGCGAGGAGTGCGGTGCCAAGTGCAGTGGGGCTACTTGCGCCAAGGGCTGCGAGGGTACCAAGTGCGCCTTCCAGCCAGGACCTCAGAGGGTCAGCATAAGTACACGGCCTCATGGGTGCGGATCGTGAGTTTGCGGAAATTGTTATTGCCACATCATGCAGCTTCAGCATATGACCATATGTTGGTGGGCAGCAATTCGTCTGGTGTCAGAGTCGTAGGATGATCATTTCAAGATGTGTCAAGAGAGCAGCTCATGTCAGGTGCAGTGGAAAGCTGCAGGAGCTGGGTTCGAAAAAAAGTTTCATGTTCCATGCCTAGCTCAAGAGCTACTGTTTCTTTCGACCGGTCCATGCTACCAGGAATGATCGATTTTTGGCCAGCTTTTGTATCCACATGTACGCATCGCAGCAGCATCCCCTTCTAAATAATCTTGCTCAGCACTCTTAGGCCAGCACACGCTGCATCCTCACGATCAGAGTCAAGCATCGCTATGAAATCTTGTTCTTTGGATTTCGCACGTTTATTGCAGACGGATCCTGCCACAGGATGTAGAGACTTGCGGCATTGGCTGCAAGGGCGAGAGCTGTGCAGAAGCCTGCACAGGCGAGGGCAGAACCTGACACACCTGGACATACCTGACAGACACGGTGTTAAGATAACACAGCTGGGTGAAGCGACCGGGTTGGGAGCTGCCTGTGCCACACTCCAGCGATACTCGCAGAACTATTGTTTGCAGCACTTTTGTCGTTTCATGCAGCACCTCTCCGAGCCTTACACACATGATGATCACATGATCTTTCCTTGCGATGCTCTGTCCAGGTAGCGAATGTGCCAAGGGCTGCGAAGGAGACCGATGCGGTGCTGGCTGCAGCGGCACCTTGGGCAGCTTGGCTGCACATTTCTTCGCCTCGCCTACACGACGGCCATCGAGGGCCAATGGAGCTCCTGGAAGCTGAGGTAGCAAATCACACTGCGCTGCTGGCTGCGTCGGGCGTCGATGCGCCGCAAACTGCAAAGGATCGACTGCGTGCCGCGCAAGAAAGCAATCTCCCCCTTGTGATTAACAGGCTTGATGGGACCCATCGCTCAATCAGCAGGAATCCCAAAAGCCTCATTTTCGCGCATGCCAGGAGCCTATTGCGTGCCACAGCCGCAGTGGAGCGACGCAAGCTGACGGAGTGATTCCAACAGGTTCAAAAGGTGCTTTTGCTGTAAGCTGTAGAGGCCGTTCGAGACCTAGAACCGCACATGAGATCTGCTTGGTTCCGTAGACCCTTGCATCTTGGAGATCTCATAGCGTAAAGGCCCCCCCTTGTGAGCCTCACGGCCCCCAAACTGAGGAAAGATCCGACATTTTGAAGCTTTTGTAGAGAGCAGCAGCCAAGGGCGCTGGCTGCAAGGGCGAAGGCTGTGCCATGGGATGCGAAGGCCAGCTTCAGCTTGGGGCGTTCCAACCTTCTTCGACTTGTAGTGTGACAGCCCGAGGGGCGGGCGAGTGTCTGCATGCTTGCCCTTTTATGCCTTGAATCATAGCGTTCCAACAGTCATCAATTTGATTGGGCGGGCGTGCTGCCTGAGTAGAATTGCCGGTCAGAGTTGAAGCACTTCGTGGCTGCAGGTTAGGTTGTACGGGCTCCTGTATGTGCTGAGCGCATCTTGCGCCCATTGCGAGGTGAGAATTGTGATCAGGGCTGCACCGGGGCCAACTGCGGCAAAGGCACAGGGTTGGAGAAGTTTGCGTAGGGAGGTAGCGATTGGGGGGTACTTCTGCACAAGCTTGGGATAGCACGATTACATGCAGCCAGGAGCGTCGTCAACATCGACATGCAAGGAGGACTGCAAGGGTTTTTTGATTGTCAGCGCAGCTTCAGGCATGAGATTGCGTGAGGCCGCGTCGTCCGATCCTGCCTGCTTTACTGGTGCTTTGCACTGTCAGCTGGATATTTGGCAGGAACTTGACAAGGACCCGAATCTCTGCGGACTGCGGGCAACCTTCAATGATGAGGCAAGTAGTCGTCCCACCAAGCTGCCAATGCGTTTGCTGTCTCACGCAGCTGGTGCTGGGTCGGACGCTGAGCCAGGTGATCTTCGCCGGCGAGAAAGCTGCAGACGTTTGCTTTGGCCTCAGATCTCTTCAGAGGTTTGCATGGTGTCTGACTCGCTACCAGCTAGTGGGATGACCGCGAACTATACACAGGAGCCTTATCACAGTGCCCTTGCAGAATGCACTTGTGAAGCAACAAGCGAAATCCATTTTAGACACGGCTACCGTATTTCTGACGTTGGTCTGCAGCGTGGCAAATGCTTTTGCATACCCTGCATTACGATTCTCGGGTGTCATCCCTCCCGACCATTAAGCTCAGCTTGCCCCGCGTGACGAGGCTGCAGCAAGACAGACTGCCCTGAGGGCTACGAGGTGCAAAGTTGCATGATGTTGTGCGGTGTCTCGCCTGTGATGACGATGCGCCAGCCTATGAACCAAGGATACTTTTTTTTAATTACGCCTGATGGCTGTGATTGCATAGTCAAAGGTGCAAATCCGAACCACGTCCTTAGCGCCATCAGGATCAGAAAACGATGAACTAGACTCAGTCGACGTTTCTTTGTGTGCGATTTTGGCATTCGTGGCCGTGCTTTTCAAATTCCAATTGTTTGGCCATTGGCTGGGCCCCTAAAATGTCTCCAAACCCACCGGTCATTGGAGAGGGCACGCAAGATCTTTCAATCAGCTAGGCAAACCCATCCAGAAGAAGCTTCAGAACTCGAAGCTCCTTGAGGGTGTTCCATTCTGGAGATCAGTGTAGGATAAAGATTTGTCAGAGTTCTTCTCATGCCTTCAAAAGTATCGCTGGAATACTCACAGGCATCTTGAATATTACTAGATGCTACCGGGGAATCTTTATCCATTCCTTCTCCGCAGCTGGTCAACGGCGAGTGCACGCCGCCGGGGTGCCGGGGCGAGCCACGGGCCCAGCCAATCGCTTTCTTTCCCGTACAACTACGTACTGCTTCTTATACAACTCCTGCTATGACTGTTTCTACTCCTACCCTACCCTACCACCGCTACCGCTGTTAGTATCATCACAACCTTCTGTATTCCTGAAATTTCAAGCTCATGTTGTGAGATGCCACCATGAAAGCATGCGCATCAACTGTCTTTCAGCCACAGGGAAGACGCACGCAATACATGACCGCAGCCATTGTGCAGGCGAAGCGCCCATGGGGTAACAACATCTGTCAGAGCAACTCCGCCTCATGTTCCATGAGAGTGAGTGAGCCTGCTGAGGTTGGTCGATGGCTACTTGGCTGGCATTAGGTAACCATCAGCCGTGAATCTTTAGCCATGGCCGCCAGCCATATCTTCCTATCTTCGTAGGCTTCCATGTTGGAGGCGCCTCCTTCCTCCATCGCCAGGCTGCTACCTGGCCGACTACAGCAAGTGCTCAAACACTTACATCAAGTACGAGCTGCGGCCTCAGCAACAACCATATGCCAATGTTGAGGTTGAGGAGCTAGAGCAGCAATGGATCAAATATGCTAATTTGATTTGATAGGCTTCAGCACTCAGGGGTTGAGTAGCAAGAAGCCCATACTTGCAGACCTTCCACAGGACCGAGTACATTCAGTGCGGCGCCGCTGGCCCCAATTGCCTGTCCGACCACATCTGCAAGAAGTGAGTGCAAGATGTGGGGATACCGACCTTTTAGATTCTTTTAGATCCTTTTGGATCAGTCTGCCCAGCAAGCGCGCGGGCAAAAAGTAGGCGCTGCCAAAGAGCCTGCCAGGCAAGGTCAGATACAGTTCGTGCTTCGACAGTGCTGGTGCTTTTTACGATGGGTCAGCCAGTGTGTTACCGATGGCAGATAGCTTGCAAGCAGGTTGGGCAATCTTGAACTCACTTCTTTAGTTCGGAATGTCTGTTTGTCTGCACATGTCAGTCGCATCTATGATGCAGATTTTGCTTGTTTGTTTGCTGTGTTTTGTTTTGTTTGTTTGCAGCAGCACCTGCAGCCCCCCTGCACACGTTTCAATGTTCACCCATGCACATCTTCAAAGAAATCATGCAGTGTGCGCTGTGCTGTCTCTGCTCAAGGCCATTAACACAAAGTCGTCGAAGTAATTTGTAGTAGAAATCATAGCACCCACTACCAGGATCGTCCACAAAGTTCTGGCTACTCTCAGAAAGAAGTAAACAGCCTTTGTGGACCCGAAGGAGACCGCCAACTGTTGGAAGATTCTTGGCTTCCTTTCATTCTATGGGATCATAAACTGCCAAATACGAAAACTTGAGGCTTTCATCGGACACTGCCAGTTGTCGATATGCGCTCTTCAGGTCGGTGGTCTTGCCGAACAACTGCTTCGCTCCTTTGGCTCTAGCTGCTTTCGACAAGGGGCAGTAGCAGCAGTACAAGCATCACCAAGCTGTGTTGATTTTGCAGCTGCGCCGCGCATGGCGTGCCAGCCAGAGGCCACTTGGGAGCCCTCGCTGGCTTGGCATCTCGCATAGACACCGATTTTCTGGGGCTGCCTCACCACAGGAAAGCATCGCAGGCTCGCTTTAGTGTGTGTTAACGACGTCATTGGCATGAAGTGTACTCATATGCCGAATTTGTGAGGGCAAGGACGGCCAGTTCAGAAACCACTAAATCCAGCGAATTTGGAGATCATGGGCGCCTAGTATTGCAAAATGTTCAATCGCCCCGAGGCACTCACCTTCTCACACTCGGCCTTCATTGGCACGGTGTCTGGAGAAGTGGCAACTGCGGCTGTAGCAAGGTGCTGGGGGACTTGGAGGAGTGACGCTGCAAGCACTGCTTTCAGATCCCGCTTCGTGCGGGGTCAGCCTCAAAGCCGGATCTTGTTGCTTTCGCCGTGGATAAGCTTTTTCTGGCAAAGATTGACATGAAAAAGTCTTACTCCCAAAAAGGTCGGTAGGTGTCTGCAATGATGCCGAGCCCATCTCAAATTGAATCTAAGCCACGTGCTTTGACCCACATTGGATCTGTTGCGACTGATCCTCTAACATTTGGAACCAGATTGGGGGCGCTCCAGCGGAGGTCCCGCAGGCCTTGG